TTGACCATGGTCAACCATCGCTGATTTTCGCGATTTGCGCGAAACCTGCGACGGATCGCAAAAATTGCAAGTGCCCCATTTGAACATTTGAAACAATGAATATGGAACAAGTGGAATCATGAGCACTCGTCAGCCAGCCATCACTATCAAGCAGAAGTGGCGGCAGGATTGGAGAACACCTTGCAGTATTGATCGGGCACTTGTGATTTCCGTGACCCGTCGCGTGAATCGCGAAAATCGCGCAAATCGCGAAAATCAGCGAAACCTGCGACGGATCGCGGACTCTGACACCAGCCTAAACCGCTCAGAGAGTTGCTGTAATTAAATATTATGATGTAGCTTAGTAACTGAATAAGAGCAGCAAAAATGGGTCTTGGTAGGCCGGAGAGGAGGAGAAGTCGCCGCCATGAGTTCGCTTAATACTATGCTTGGCCGTCTACAGTTTCGTAGTCGGTCATCAGATCGTGACGAGTGCACAGATTAGATACATATCGATCGTTCAGTCGTCCGACACATCCGACGACCGATACATATCTAATGCTGTGCGATCGTTGATCGTTACGATCGGACGACCGACCATTGAAGCGTCTCACAGGTGTTTAGTTCATAGTTTATGTAAAATTTGATGGGTTCGGCCCGATCGTGATATATGTAGGATGGGAAATATCCACTCAAGTTCCGATGCAGCGGCATGCAGCGAAGTTTCTCGTTTGGAATACTTTAAGTTTTGCGGTCTTGAACTTGCTGCCATTTCGACAGCTATTTCGGGAAGTTAATAAATAAGCATAAAACAACTCACGGCCCATAGTTGAATACTCAACGCCTCAAAAGTGGAGTGAAATCCTTTGACCATTGATCATGTCTGCACCACTTCTTGCACAAACTCGGCCAAAATATCACTCCAGTTCCGCTAAGGGTGGTGACAGTAGTACTCCTTCGGTAATAGGTATACTGCACCTGTATAGAGGCTACTATCGCATGTATACTCTTTTTATTCTGTTGCTCAATTGAGTGATAGGTACTGTAGAAAGGTTGTCTTCGAGCACCATTTTTAGAATTGTATTGCAGGTCAGGCATGGCTTCTGTCATTCGTCGGATACGGCGAACGAACAAGAAGGCCGCAAAGTATCGATTTACAGCCACTCTGGAAGAACTTCTGATAGTCGGCTCTGAGAAATGGAAACCGAGTACAGTTACCGTCTCGTTCATGCATAGGTGATTTCAAGCATTTCTTTGTTTTCTTTTCAGTTTTCGATTTTCTTTGTTTATATAGCTTTTACGGTCTTTCATTTGCTAGTTACCTAGTCGTAGGAGGGTATTTTTATTCCTGTGACTTAACAGCTTTTGCAAAGGGCTTATCTTAATGTTTAATTTATGCTTGAGTGTATTTGCTTTTCGCATTGCGCAGTCGTGAAATGTTGTCTCAACGGCTTTGAGTGATTTGCAGCTTTTGGACATTTGCTTCTGGCCCCTGGGTCAAGCGCGCGTTGTGCAAACCACATGGGGGATCGTACCTGTCTGCTGGAGAAGGTAGTCATAGTAGGACATTAATGTTGGAGGTTTTGACACTTTCTTCTTCTGCCTGGCTGTTTTTCGAAAGAGCAAGGAAATGTTCGGGT